AGTTACCACTTACGTTTGTGCCATTTTGTGCAATTTATTTTGATGATTATTTTTTTATGCTGAGAATTTAGCCATTTGTTTTCTTATGTATTTTATTTTTTTTTGTTTCAATAAAAAATTTGATAATATGTCTTGTCTGCTTAAGCAGACATGTCCACGCATATCATATAATATGACACGTATGGACGTGTCTGCATTAGCAGACCTTTTGTTTTTTTGCAAAAAAATGAGTTAGTTTTTGCTGGTTAATGAATGAACTCCTTATTTTTATATAAATTTTTGAATCGAATAGAAAAATTAGAGTGACCCCATATGATACATTTTTTTCACCTAGCGCTCGTCAATGTGTTAACGTAATGTAACAAAAATATTTAGGAACTAATAAACAATTTCTGAATGTTTCCACAGTTTGTAGCTAAATATCACAGTTGGCCACAAAAATCATTTTGTGTCGTCTTTCAGCCAATGGTTACTATGGGCCAACAATGAGCAAGTACTAGACTAATTTTGTTTACAAAAATCGAATTGCAAATATTCACGGTATCATCCAAGTAGTCGTCAAATTATCATGAGAGAGTATTGTTCATGGTTATAATTCGGTATTGACTAAACATAAGGCTCTAAAACGCACAAAAGGCTTTCAAAATTACATTAGAGAAGTATATTTGCATTCTTAATGCCAATTATTATCAGTTGCAATTATTATAGTTGTGTAGTTTTTCAGGAAAATACGTAATTAATTTTGAAGTGTGACGGCAAACGCTTCCTCGCTCCTCAGATAAACATACTCGCACAAACCATCCCCACTCGAATTAGGTTTTTTGGTGGCTTATCCTCTTCTAGTAAAAAAAGTAAAATATTTTATTTCAGGAACATAAAAAGAAAGCCTTCTAAATCTAGATACAGACAGAAAAATACATAGACAAAAAAGTTAACTAAAAGAATTCTAGGTCACAGTTATGTAATCACAAAAGGAATAAAATAGCCATCAAAGCGCCGAGCTTTTACGTAATCTCAAAAATGGTTTGAAGATGCCTAGAAAAATTGAATGAGCTAGACGACAAAAAATACAGTTACTCTGTCTTGGGTCCCGGGACATAACAGGGTAAAGGTTAACTAGATTGCAGATAGTCTCGCAAGGAAATGGGCTGAAACACCCTTTGTGTGATCGGAGCCGTTCTGCGGTATCAGTAGTAAAACAATATTAGGAGAGTTTAAAAACGAATTGAGCAGTAGAATAACCGATAATTGGAATAATCTCTTGGGGCTAAGATACTTCTGGGTAAATATAACCAGGAAAGATCGGAAGCTTGTATCTGCCTGAGCAAGAACAGGCTACGTATTGTAACAGGAACCCTTACCGGACATTGCCAGCGCAAATTCTCCATTCACATTCTGACTGAATGTGTAGCACTCCAGAATCCAAGGGCACTATACCTAGGAGCATATCAAATAGAAGAGGGAGATTTACCTAACTTGAAGCCACTCCAAATCCTACACTTCCTTGAGAAAATAGGATTGGAAGGGTAGTTATAGACATCGAGACATTTCCTCGCTGCATTAGCGACAGAAGGGGACACAATATATCTTTTAGGTAGCAGTGTATTAACACCCCGTAATTGTTTAATGTCATTTTATATTTAAATTTGGCTGAGCACAAATACTTGTTAGTAGGAGATGCGCGATTATCATGTGACCATGATTTCGCAGCTATTAAAAGGTATAAACGTCATCGATTAAAATAAGTGTATACTCCAGAAGATTGGTACGAAAGTAAGAAAATGTAAAAGAAAAAATTGGTTTGAGGCTATTGTATCGAAACAATCTGATTTTTACTAAATTACTAAAAAATGACTATACATATAAGAAAGTTTTTTTTTCCAAAATGTCATCTCATAAATGAGGAATTTAAAGCAGTTAATACTAGGAAGAAATATTTAAAAAAATCAATTTTACTTTCCAGAGATTTGAAATCAAAATATACTGAACCTATTCCACTGAAAACAAAATTAAAAATATCTCCCAGCTCTTAGTTTATTACGCCAGCTTTCCTAAAATTATTTGAAGAGATTACTGCTTGCCAACACATTCTACCATATACTGATAATGAACCACTGAAAGACATTGAACATCTGGATATTTTCATGTGAGCCATTTTCAACCATCCCGTCACCTCTAAGGCTATAATTAGTACTAGAATACTCTGGCACAAGTGTGGATTTGTTTACAGCGTAAAATTTTTGTATATAAATGAATTCTTTTGCCGTTTGAGTTTAAAGATAAGTATTTTCGAGTAGATACATTGTTAAAGTAAATATAAGTGTAGGTCTGATTACAAATAAATTACGAGTAGTTATAAAATAAGTTGGTGTATTTAGGGAATATAAATTAGAATAATTAACTGTTTAAAATAAACAAACGTTACAATAGGGTTTCAGATATTGAAGATAATTGCAATTTGTTTTTTTTTTAAACAATTTTTTTTGTATAAAATGGAATAAGCCTGTTTTTACTTTCCTGTATACAGATAAGGAAAGTATAGGAATCATGATTTTTTTAGACGGATTTTTACGTTTTGGGCTGCCCTGAATCCGTTTTGACTATTTTCACGATGATGTCTGTGTGTGTGTGTCTGTATCCACGATAACTCATAAACGGATATAAAGAAAAACACCAAATTTCAAACTTAAGCTTTATTCCGGCCTGTGGTGAACTGATTAAATTATGGGCAGAGTCGGAACATCTGGGGGGTACTTTATTGGGGATAATTTTTATATTTTATGAAATATATGTTATTTACGTTTGGAGAAGAAAAATTTTCAAATAAAAGTTACTTCTTATATTATTCTCTATAATTTTTGTTTCATAAAAATTTTTCCTAAAATGGTCCGTATTCGAGAAATTTGACAAAATGTAAAAAATTCAAATTTTTAGGAAAATTGTTCAAATAAGAGTTATTTGTGATATAATTCTCTATAATTCTTGTCATATACATAATTTCTCTAAAATGGAAAATTTTCGAGATATTTGAGAAAAAGAAATCTCGAATTTTGAAGAAAACTCAAAAACGGATAAAGAGAAAAATAATAAATTTTAAACTTAAGCTTTATTTCGGCATGAGGTGAGGAGATTTTGGGCAGAGTCAGAACATCTGGGGGGTAGTTTATGGGGGTCGTTTTTATATTTTATGGCATATATCAGTTATTTACGTTTGGAGAAGAAAATTCTTCAAATAAAAGTTACTTCTAATATTATTCTCCATACTTTTTGACCTATACAAAATTTTTCTAAAATGGTCCGCAATCGTGAAATTTGGCAAAATGTGCAAAATTCTGATTTTTAAGAAAATTGTTAAACTAAAAAATTGGAGAAAAAGTGTAAAATTTTAATTTTTCAGTATTTTTGTTTTCAATGAATATCTATAGAAAAATGTTTCGAGTTAGATGTATGTAGAAAATGTATATATTATATTTAGTTTATCCTCTAAACGTTTACAGAGGTGCTACAATAGGTTATACAAAATAACCGGAAAAGTCTATAATAACTAGATCGGAAATCATGTATTGGACACACAGATTTTTTCGAAGAATGTTCAAAAACCCAATCAACGTTAAATAAACATTTATTTTACTTTTGTTAATTTGTAATTACATATTTCCAAAAGATTGTTAACCTTATATCCGATAAAAATTAAAAAATAGATTTCACGATTTGAAAATAAGTTAATAATTACTTTTTGGCATGTTCTCTTCTGGTCTCAAGGACTTAATTAATCAATGGAAAAACGTTTATAGAAATGCATTGAACAAATCTGAGAATATATTGAATCAATTTTTCAAATTTTTTTTTAGTACATTATAAGTTTTTTTGATGTTAATATTATTCACGCTTATTTTAATCAGATTATTTTGTTTCGTTATAAAATTGTTTCTATGGTAAACTGAATAAAAGAGGTGATATTTATCTAAAAACTGCATAGAAACATTTGGTAAGAGAATTGGTTATGAATGCTTAACATAATAAAATATAAATAAATGCAATAATAACAGCTTTCTCACAATTATTTAAAAAAAAAATATTTTTGTGAGTCGCTTAAAGTAACTAATTTATTAATATACACTGTATATTATTCTAATTCAATTTGCTCTATAAATTTAAGTTTCTTTTAACCTATGCTTTTGTGAATATTTTCCCCAAATTTGCTACAAAAATAATTTAAAATAATAAAGTTATTAAAGTTTTTTGGTCCAATTTTTGGCTATTTTTAAAAATATGAAAATTAATTCATGTATTTGAGATCAACTACTTATAATACTTATGGCTTAAATGATAAAGATAATGATCAAATTAAAAAAAAACTCATCTTTTTATTGCTCCAAATACAAGAATGTTCCAATTTTACTTTAAAAGACGTACATACCAATTAGATTAAAAATTGACATGTCCGATCATTTTCCATCATTTACTAAAAAATAGCCAAAAATAATGTTATTATATTCCAACAAACTTTTTCAAAAGTCAAGGTCTTCCCTAATACCAATATGACAAAAAGATTTAAAAAAGCGTACCAGCAATTCATGAACCAAATAAAAATTTCTATTTAAAAATAATAGTTACTTACCTGATTATTTTAAAATTTAAAAAATAAGAATCACCTTGGTTGATTTGAGTTAACCCTGTATATCTAGCCCCTAATTTTTTATAACAAGTACTACCAAAACGATAAACCTTAATAAAATTATCAACACCATAATAAAAATAATGTTAAATACAATTTAATATACAACAATGAAAATGAAATTTTTTTTGTTGTTAAATTTTACATTTTTCGTATTTATTATTTTATATCGAGACTAACAATAAAACATTTGACAATTAGTCTTATTGAAAAATCTAGTTAAACAAGGAAAACTATAAATATAATATAAATAATATACATTTAATTTATACATATTACTAAAAGATATATTTTCAAAAATATACAAAATAAAATTAAGTTATATACACATTACTATTGTTTTGCCAATATAATAATAAAAAGAAATGACCAGATTTTTCAATATGCTACAGGATTTTCGGTAATAGTAAGATATTTAAGGTACATATTTTCCAATAAAAAAAAATTGATTCAGTATTTTTAGTTGATAATTTCTATCTATATCACTGATACTCTTCCAAAATATGGAAATATAATAAAATCAACTTTTTTAACAGTGAAATAAATGACCATTTGATCTGTAAACCTTCCAATCATTTCTATTTGTATTAGTCAATAGTTTAATTTAGATCCCATTTTATCATCCAAATATTAAATTTTAACTAAAATTTCTTATCAAAAAGAAAACATTTATTTTGTTTTAAGCTAGCATAAATGATATTATTATCATATCCAATAAAATAAGCGATGAGGACCCCCCCCCCCTAAATCGCTAATATACTTCAACATTTTTTAAACGTGAAAGGATGAAATTTGAAATGTTATTTCAAAATATTTCAGTTGATACCACTGAAAATCTGTAAACTATTAATAGGTAAACGTAAGTTTATCAGAAATAGTACCCTTGATGACATTATACATAGTATGACTGATTAGTAGATTTGTGATCCAAGTTGAAACATATTTTTAATGATTTATAAAATATGCTTTTTCCATTGTGCAGATTATATTGGTCTAATTATTACCGATATCACTTTTCAAATATACACAAAACTGTCAACATTAAATTGGCATGGTAAAAATTAAAGCAAAAGGAAAAATAAAAGAAATTAGGCATTATTAAATACCATATAAAATGAGCCAAAAAACAAACGTACCCCTAACCAACTTCTAATGACAGGGAATCGACTGATTCTGATATTGTTTTTAAAAAGTAAGGCCGATACATGATAATTTAATTTGATATAGTTTTAGTGATTACCTTTTTTTAGGGTTTTATTAGTAGTATTTGAATGATAAAAACAATTTTACTAATTCGATTAAGCGTAAAAGGGCCACAATATCAGCAGCCAATGCACAAATTTCATCTTCAATATTAAATTGTTGCCGCGACACAATAGTCTTTAGCAGACTCTGATCCTGTCATAAAAATTGTTGAATAAAAATGATAAATTATAAGTTTGGTTTAAAGGTAGGTTTCTATTACCTTTTAAATGCTTTACATTGAGTGGCTGATTATCTAAAATTTATTGTGTGTAACTGTTTTAATAGCCAGTTTAATGTGACTAAGTATAAAAAAGAATATAATACAATTATTTTTGTTTTATACTGTTGGAGTAAAATATAAGTAAGACTACTTATATGTAGAGAAAAATCACAATGTTAAAAAGTGCTATCGCCTATAAAACTTAAATTAAGATGACAAATAAAACACTAAATAGTATTGATTGTAAATCTATTTCAACACAATAATAACATTTTGATGCCATTTTAAGCACTCTAAATTATCTGTATAGACCCATTACTCATCAGCATCGGTCGATCCTAACCCATCCATAACCTCATTTATTGACCGCACTAAAAATCACAGATGTAGTTCAAAGGTATTCTCGTTTTTTAGCCCATCCTGCGCAAATAAGTAAGTTCTTTACAACGCACGTATATTAAATTGATAATAATTTCTCTAATACAGCTGTCCTCTCACACACAATCTCTAAATATGAATGGGCCGCACATAGAGCGCCTGCTTAGGTGAATAGAAGGAAAAGGGATTGACTAACTAAGCTATACCGGATCCAGCTGCTGCCTGAATGGGGGTAGACGTCGAATCGGCATTTTCTTGGTTTGCAGTAGATGAAGCAGCCCCTTCCTGTGGACTACTAGTAGCTTCTTGACCAGCTCGCGGCAGAAGTACGAAGTTAAGTGCTGGTTGAATATTTAGTTCTAAAAAAAAAAAACTTGATCACTGCATAACCTGGGCAAAATATTATTTTTTTATGAAAGAAAAAACCTTAATTCTAAGACTAACATCTGTAATCACAAAGCGTTTTTAAATAACGTATTGTTCATTAATAGGTTTTGCGAAAAAGTTTGGTATTTACAAGTTGGCTCATAGAAAAATAAAAAGAGAAGGTTTGAATTGGCCTCAGTTAATTATATACCCTAAAAGATTATAAAATGCTAACCCACATCCTACAGATTTTTTAAACAAACAAAAACTTTGAGCTGATTATATCAGTTTGTCACTATTGAGGCTTGGTAGCTTTCTGCATAATGCGTCGATTATAGTAGACTTGTTTTCTTGTTTGCAGTTCAACCAAAATTGCACTACGCATACTAAATATATAAATATTTAAAAAATAATGGCAAATAAATCAATAATTTTACTGATTTAACCCTTTAAATTTCACTTTAATACAATGTGTGGTCAAATACAGGGATAATTGTTAATGTTATGTAAATATGTATATGTAAATCTAGATGTGATAATAAATTAGGTTATGTTGCCCTCCTATGTCAGATGTGAATCTGAAAATAAAATTTTTAGAAGTAAAGCTGCATTTCCATAGAACCGTTAACCGACGATACGATTGTCCGAAATTACTGTGATTGGTGGAAATTTTGACAGTTGACAGAGTGCCAAATGCTTTTATATTTTTAGGATTTGTATAATATATTTTATATTTGTAAATATATTTTTTGTCCACGACCACTTAATAATAAATCAATATTCTACCTCCTAACTAAAAGCATATGGTACCCATATATCACTAGAGTGAATTATGATAATTCACGCTTTTGTAATTCTGGCACATTCCGGTAGATAACTAAAGATGGGCGATACTTTTCATAACGATATTTTCTAGATCGAAAAATTGGAAAATCGGAAAATTGAAAAAACAGTTACCTATGTTTAATAAAAACTTTCCACTCTATACTTAACTTTATTTAATAAAGAAACCATAATGGTCGCAATTTATGGCCATTATTTGCTCGTTTAATAATATACTATTATCTGTAAATAAAGTGTTTTTTTCTTAATTTTTCTTATTTAAGTACTTTTATATTCTTAGGATTTGTATATATATTTTTTATTTGTAAATAAATTGTTTTTTACTTCATTTTTCTCATTTTTTATTAAAAGGTTAATAAAATTTTCAGATTTTACATTTTTGTTTGTAAACAATAATTGAAGAGTTTTTATTAAAAATCACCAATGTTAATAATAATAAGTCAATATTATTCTTTCTCCTTTTTTAAAGCTACTATCAATAAAGGTATTACTTTAGTTTGACCTATGATCAATTTTTAATTTTGTGCTAGATTTGGTTTGACAGAGAAAAAAATTACAACCCTTTGACATTGGTTGTTTTTACTTAGATTTTCTTAAAAAAACAGAACTGCAAACATGTTTTACTATCGTAATAACGTATAGCATCATTAAATACTTTTTTTTTACATTTATCACTGTTGTAATTTTCGTCAAGGAATAATAAGAAGGCACACTTGCTGGTTTTTTGAAAAAGGTGGCAAGAATTGTGATATTTTTAAATTTATCACCAGTGATACCACCTTTGGATTATATAGACTTTGCTACCACATTCAACTGAACTTGGTTGTTTTTAATATTTATCATTGTGACATAGGCTGTTTTTGTTAAATTTTTTCATTTTAAACTGCTGTAAATAAGTGCCTTTGGTTTGGTAGTTTTAGTTCCACAAAAATCTATGCATATACAGGTACTCATTCCGCTTTGATTTGTTCGAAAAGTTAAAATTTTATAAAAAATTATATTGGCTGTTTAAAAACTCTTCATTATAATCTCTGAAATGTGATAATTAGGTAAATTAAATTAAAAAAATAAAAAAAAGTTTATTAAATTAATATTTACTCTTACAAAATAGGTTCTTGTAAGTATTCAATACCACAAGCAATTATGCAGTTATTACAAAGTAAATGTACTTGCTTAAAATTCACACAGGAATGTGGTTTTAACATGTGAAATTCCCTAACCCTTCTTATAACTCTTTCCACATGTATTCTTAGAGATGCTATTCTTTTACTTAATTGTACATCTTCTGGAGAACTTTTTTCATTCTGTGATACACTAGGTGGCCTTACTAAAGTACATCCCATGTTTTCAAGTAATGGCTGAATATTCTTAAACCCCCTATCTGCCATTATATGGGATCCAGGAACCAGTTTGTTTAAATATTCACATTTTTCTATTATTTCTTTATCACTAATTCTTCCAGAAAACGATTAATAAATTCGCTATCTTCAAAACTTTCAGGAGATTCTGGATTTTCTTCCAGAAGGGTTTTTAGATCATACATCTAAGAATTTATAGTAGCCTCATTTTGAATTTCCTGAAGGGGACAATTAGCAGAAATTGCTGCTACATCTTGAATATCCGGTGTATTTTTATTAAAAAGTTGCCGAGAAACATCGCTAGTAGAAGGTTGATTTTCTTCTTTCCAAATTTCTAGGAACACTAATAAATATTCTTGAAGATGAATGTGAATCATTATCACATTCTGGAACAAAACACTTTTTCGTAGTCATAATATTTATAAAAAGTACAAAATTAAACACTGAAATTCGAAATAAATTCTTGCTTGAGACACTATGACAGATGACACATACAGTGCTGCCATTTTGCCATTTTCTGAATTAAGTGACTTTTAAAAAACATTTGATATTATATATTTAAAAGATATTTGTTTAACGATGTTTTAGAAGTCTAAAAGTAAGAAGGAGTACACAAACGAACGTACATCACTTCTCGTAAACCTTCCAACCGGCAACGTTGTGGCGCTAGCTCCTATTGGTCTATTCCCGGTGACGTCATAAATTTTAAAAAATTCATAACTCTGGCAAATGAATAGATAAAAAAAATGTAGCTTTATTTTCAACTCTATTCATAAAAAAAATTTCAAAATTGAAGTATATACTTTAGAAATTAATAAGAAATTTTATATTTTTTCTCTTATCCTCTTAGAGAGAAGTTTTATGTAGCTGGATTTGCAGTGAAAAAATGAAAGAAATTGCCAATTTACGAACAAATATTGTCATCATAGTTTTACTCATATGAAAGAATATGATAAAAAAAGGTGTTTGATTAATACTTAAAAAGAAATTGTTAAATTTTTGGATACTATTCGTGATTATATTTATTAAATACTGTAACCTACCGAATGCACTAAGCAACTTCCAGTGAGGGAAATTGCCTAAAATTGAACGTTAAAAAAAAAAACTTTACCAATAAAAATTATGTCTACTTGGTTACATAAGTTTATGTTGTTCCGGTGTCAACCTTCGCCCAGACAGTAGCTAGATAAAAATTCTGGAAATAGACAAATTGAAAGGTGCTGAGTTCATATAATAGCCAAACTATGATCTAATTTCCCCACAATCCCAGTAAATGAGGAAAGAAATAAAAGACAAACATCAAACTTATGATCCTTTATAATTAACTTTACCAACGTTTAACAATTTATAAATTATTATTAAAGAAACTAGACTACAAATATACCCAATATGTTTGTCATCAAACAAATTCAAAACTATTGTTCAAGAACCAACTTATTAAAAATATGTTTAATTTGTTCAAGAACTTTACCAAAAAAATATCATAGAGATTATGCTGAATTCATAACTAAATCCCTACTATTATAAATGCGAAAGTAAGTTTGTTTTCACCCAAAAACTACTTAACCGATCATCATGAAATTTTGTACACACATTTTTGGAGGTATTAGAAGTAACAGGTTAGTTTTAAAATAAAAAAATTATTTTTTACGAAAGATAAAAAAATCTAGCTACTTCAACGCCATCTAGCATTCCAGTAATGAAGTTTCAACCCCGAGTACTGTAATATCGTCGCATTGTATTACCGACGGTCTAGTGAAAGTGAAAAATTAAATCGTATGTCATATGCATAAACTCAAAAAAAAGAATAATAATTTCATCAATAGATTGCACAGTAAATTGTTAGCATGGTACCAATCGAAGGACAATATGCACAAGATGTTAGAAATATTAATTTCTACATTTTTACAATCCACACTAAACCATAAAAAAAATTATAAATGAACGTGTGCCCTCCGCACCTATTTATAAACAACGTTTATGTTGAAACACAATATACTATTAAGTTTCCAAATTGGAAGAGGTCACTTGTTTGACCTATTTATTTATAAAACAAAATATAAAGACCAGTAAATTTTACTGTAAAATATAAATCATAAAACAAACAAAAATGTCATAAACACATAAAACACTTGGTATTTTTAAAGCTCCCAGATTGAAAGAGGTTTACTTTATTTCTGCCTTTATACAAAGAAGAAATCGAAAAAATAACGTAGCCTTTAGGTCGCGAAGTATTTAAGGTCAATACTCCGACCAGAGACACTAAGTGCTTATTTAATAAAATTATGAAATGATATTTACACATAATTTATTAAAAAAGCCCACTAAAAATTCTGTGTGTAGACTGTAGAGTATCAATAAAGTTGAAATATCTTAGGTGCATTCGTTTAAAAAAGAATGTTTAATTTAACAAATTAGCAGGCATAGCTAGTGTTGCCACCTGTTCTTTTTTGAAAAGGACAGTTCTTTTTTAAAGCAAACTGTCCTTGTGACTTTTTAAAGCTTAAAATGTCCTTTTTACGGAAAATGTTTTCTACGATAAATGTCTTGTTTGACAGCACAACATATTTTTGAAAGGGACATGGTTTGTACAAAAATATGTAAGCTGAGGACCTTTTTTGTTTTTTTCTTTTTTTTATAGAAGCTCGGCATGACGAGGTTTTTTTTTGAAGCTCGGCATGACAAGGATTTTTTTTTTGTTCAGCTCGACGACCTTTTTTTTTAGAAGTTCACTAGAAGGATGAGTACTTTTTGTATACCAGAGCTCCTGTCAGCATCGTAGACGTTTTTTT